CAAGGTAGACCAGTGAGACAGAATATGTATCGGGGTTATAGACCACGATTCCGCAGGGGTCCTCCTCGCCAAAGACAGCCTAGAGACGATGGCAATGAGGAAGATAAGGAAAATCAAGGAGATGAGACCCAAGGTCAGCAGCCACCTCAACGTCGGTACCGCCGCAACTTCAATTACCAACGCAGACGCCCAGAAAACCCTAAACCACAAGATGGCGAAGAGACAAAAGCAGCCGATCCACCAGCTGAGAATTCGTCCGCTCCCGAGGCTGAGCAGGGCGGGGCTGAGTAAGTGCCGACTTACCATCTCTACCATCATCCGGTTTAGTCATCCAACACGAAGAAATGAAGATGAAATTCCAGCAATAAGAAATGAACAAAAGATTGGAGCTGAAGACCTTAAGTGCTTGCTTTTTGCCCACTGACCAGATAAATAGAACTATCTGCATTATCTATGCAGCATGGGGTTTTTATTATTTTTACCTAAAGACGTCTCTTTTTGGTAATGACAAACGTGTTTTTTAAAAAAAAAAAAAAAAACCTGGTTTTTCTCAATACACCTTTAAAGGTTTTTAAATTGATTCATATCTGGTCAAGTTGAGATTTTTAAGAACCTCATTTTTAATTTGTAATAAAAAGTTTACAACTTGATTTTTTCAAAAAAATCAACAAACGGCAAGCACCCGGGTGTTAATAAAGATCTTAAATAATTAAAAAAAAATGTATATGTTGAAATGCTAACACCCAAGGTAATCATATTAGGTAGTGGGGCTTTCAGAAGGTGATTAGATACCAGGAGGGAGCCCTCATGAATAGGAGTACTGCTCTTATAAAAGATGCCCCAGAGAACTTTCTTGTCCCTTCCACCATGTGGGGATACAGCAAGAAGGTGCTGTCTATGAAACAGGAGATGGGTCCTCACCAGCCACTACACCAAATCTGCTGGTGCCATATTCTTGCACTTCCCAACCTCCAGAACCATAAGAAGTATATTTATGTTATTCAGAAGCCACCCACTCTGTGGTATTTTGTCATAGCAATCTGAATGAACTGCAGCAATCACCTTGAAGGCAAGGACAGAAATGTTTACTTCTGTATCTCCAAGAAGTGGTTCAGTGTTTGCTTTAGAGCTTATACATAGTAATGCTTTGTGACTAATTAAAATGGCAGTACTTTTGTCAAGACTATAATCACACTGTGGTATGAAGAGTGGAGGTTGCTACTGAATATCAATACTGAAGGCTACTGATTTGGAAGACCATACATGATACACTCTTAGGAGACTAAGTATTGATTTCTGTCAGCCATTTTTGCTTTTATAAGAGTCAAGAATAAAGGTCTTCTTTCCTCTATATGGGACTTTGCAATGCCTGAATAACGAAGTATTATTATAATTTTTATTGATGTTATTTTAGATGGGAAAGATTTCTGATGAGCTTCTTCCTTTAAGAATTTCTTCCCAGAAATTTCTCTTCTATCAAAAGACAAGAGAATCACACATATTTTCCCATCTCTTTATTTGCATCTGTGAACTGCTTTCAGTGACAGGAAGTAGGAAACTTGAGCCATGGCGATGATTTTTACCTGTCCTCTTAACTCAAATTAATAACTTGTGCAGAGTCTAGATCACGGGGGAAAGATGGCTGGTAATGACTGCATTGGGAAAGTGTTTACATTTTGTGCCTGCTTTTGCAAACAAGCAAAGAAAGAGAATAGACTGAAGCACTGTTAATATAAATGGGTATCTCATTTGTTTTCTAATTTTTTTCTCCTGGGAAATTTAAAAAAATGCCTCTAAATTAGACTCATTCTTCTTGTGACATAAACAACCTATGGATGATAGCTAAAGGTTTTCCTCATGTATATCTCTCCTATCAAAAGTCTCCATAATTACTTGAAATGGCGCCTGAAATGTTCTTGACAGTTTGTGATTCTCACAAATTTATATTTTTTCTATTTTATTTGTTGAGCAAATATTTACTGAATGTTTCCTCTGGTAAAACACAGTCCCAGTCATCCAAGGGGCTTACTACTATATTTGTTACTATAAGTTTGTTACTCCAAACATTGTTTTTACTAAGATTTTTAAGCATAATAACTGTGTGATCAGTAGGTTTCAAGGTGGGTTAGATATAAAGAAAACAAAGCTCTAAGTTCTAAATTAGAAAGCCTCAAACTCCAAGTTTTAAATTGGCATGAATATGGTTCTTTTCAGGTCCCTGAGTCAGAAGAAAAGGCTAAGTCAGTGATTCTTTTTAGATCCTACTAAAAAAAAAAATAAGTAAATCTAGAACATAAGTCTTGTTTGGAGGTTAACAATGTTCTAAAACCAGACACCAGTTCTTCTTTTTTTCATCTGATTAATAAATCTAAGTGTATTTCTTTATCTCATGTTCAGATTTATTTTTCATGTTTTTTTTTTTCCTGAACAATGGCTATTAGTAATGAATATCAAACTGAGATCATTATTTTCTTTGCTCAACTTTGGCTTTTTGGCAGCTGAGCTGGTAACCTGGCTACACACAGAACGATGATGGGAGCTGAAATGCAGGGCCACTGAATATGACAATGGGACCTTTTCTAAGGGCAACAAGCAGGCTTTGCTTAGCATTCAGCATTTGGAAGCGTGCTCATTATTTTAGCTAGATTAAAAATATATAGGAACCCCAAAATACAATTAGGCAAAGCCTAGAGCAAAACATTTGTAAATATGATGGGTGAAAACAACAAAGATGACTTTGAGACACTTGATTCAGTTGATCTCTTTCTCTTCAAAGTATTAATTGAAAAAAAAAAAGGCAGATTTCACATAGTGAACTATGTAACTTTCTACAGCATACCCACAACTCCAGTAACATCAAGCAATTGGGATACTGAGCAGCATCTGAATAATGCAGCCTTTTCTTACACAAAGTTTGCTTGATAAGGGGCAAAAATTACATTTCAGATTCTGCTCTATCTTTTGCATCTTTGCTATAAATTGTCCCCAGATTAGTGTCATTAATCATATTTTGTGGGCAAAGAAATGAGATACACAGTAAGGAATGATTTTTTTTTGAAGATCTTAAAACTTTGAGAGTTATGAAAGATTTTACTTTGCCAACTTCTAATTCATACTAATTATAAAAAAATACTTTCCCTAATGTACAAATGATCTGTGTAAAAACAACAGTAAAAATTGGAAAATGGTGTCACCCTCACTTGGCTTTTATTTATTAATTAATAACAATGTATTGTGACAGATGGTAGCTACAGTTACGGCAAGCACAGCATAACATAAGGTTGTTGAATCTCTATGTTGTACATGTAAAACTAATGTAACAATGAGCGTCAACTATGCTCAAAATAATAATAATCACCTACTGTTATTGAATCTAACACTTTTATTAGAAAGGTATTTTCATTTTAATGAGCAAATTGTATATAGCTTATATGAAGACAGAGCCAAACAGTTTGGGTACAGGAAAATAATTGTTCTATATTGCTATCTCATGTTTTTTTTCTGCAGAGTGGACACCCTCTACTTAAAGTCTTATCCTACTCTTTAAATGCTGAAGGTGTAAGCAAAATACTTTCCTACCTAGAAGCAGTCTACTTTGCCTTCATCCTTAAGGACTGACTATTGGGCAGAAGGATAAGTTTTAGACCTAAATTTTCACAAACCAGCAATTATAAGTGATGTGTATGGGATTATTCACATGCAAAAGACATTCTTTCTGCCACACTACCTAGAAATATTAGCTTTAGAAAAATACATAAGCAGGTTTGCAAGATGGAAAATTTTTTTTTAGTTCAAAAAAATGAAGAGGAATCATAACCCAGAGGGGTAAGCTGTGAACTGATGCTGAGTAATGAGTTCCTTGCTTATTTGGAGGCTGAATTTACATTGCCTGCATATTTGGGAATTAAATGCTGATAATAAAATACTAAAAATTGATTCCAAGTGGAAAAAGAAGAGAACATCAAACCTGAAGCCAAGCAGAAGAAAATAATAAATATTAGACAAAAATAAAATACAGAGCAGAAAAATAGAAAAAAATGAACCAAAAGTTAGTTGAAAGCTCAGCAAAACTAACAAACATTTTACTAGACAGACCAAGAAAAAAACCCCAGAAGACTCAAATCTATTCCCTAATTTAAAATCCATTCCCCTATCTAAAATGAAGTATGAAAAGGGGGACATTACTGTCAACCTTACAGAAAAAAAACAAAGGATTACAAGAGAATAGTATGAACAACTGTATGCCAACAAATTAGTTAACTTGGATTAAATGGACTTTTTTTTTTAAATGAACAAATTCTTTAAAAAAACAACAACCCATAAACTATTGAAACTGGCTACAGAAGAAACAGAAAACCTGAATGGTTGTATAATAGGTAAAAAGGTTGAACTAGTAATGTCAAAAAATTCTCACAAAGAAAAATTCAGAGCCAAATGGCTTTGCTGGTGAATTATACCAAACATTTAAAGAAGAATTAATACCAATTATGCACAAATTTTTTGAATAACAGAAAAGAGGAAACATTTCTTTTTTTTTTTTTTTACAGATTTTATTTATTTATTCATGAGAGACAGAGAGAGAGAGAGAGAGAGGCAGAGGGAGAAGCAGGCTCCCAAGGAGCAGGGAGCCCAATGCGGGACTTGATCCCAGGACTCTGGGATCATGACCTGAGCCGAAGGCAGATGCTTAACCATCTGAGCCACCCAGGCACCCCAGAGGAAACATTTCTTAACTCATTCTATAAATCCCTGATAACAACACCAAAGACATAATAACAAAAGAAATTTAGAAACCAATCTCTCTTATGAATATAAAGGCAAAAATTCTCAACAAAATACAAGTGAACAGAATTCAGTAACATACAGGCCAGGTTTTATACAGCATTATAAATTGAAATTTATTGCAGGATTAAAGGTTATCTTACCATTACAAAATTGATTAATAATAACTCAATATAATGAAGAACAAAACCACATGATTACAATAGACCCAAGAAAAGTATCTGAGAAAATCTAACATCCTTTATTATAAAAACAAAGTAGGAGTACATGAAATTTCCTCAACTTGATAAAAGAGAATCTATAAAAAAAAAAAAACCACAGCTAACTTCACACTGTTGAAAGACTAAAATTCTTTCCTCTAAGATCAGGTACAATACAAGACTGTCCACTTTGCAACTTCTATTCAACTTTCTATTGAAGGTTATATTTAGGGCAAGTAGTCAATGTAGTGAAATAAAAGGTATCCAGATTGGAAAGAAGTAAAATTATCTCTATTTGCAGATAAAATA